CGGGGAAGCCAGAGGCCTCTGTCCGGCGAGGCGCTTACTAGACACGGTTACATGGGAACAATCCCTCATGCCAGCCCAAAGTTAGGAAATTCTGGGCCCTGGTTCCCCTTTCATCTACATTCTGAAGTAGAAAAATGCTTCTACTATGTTAATAAAACCACTGTCCAGTCTGCTGAACTTTACGCTGTAGCAGTACTTCATAGCATATACTATAATTTGTGTATTTGAGATAAATGAAATGTATATTATATTCTAATACATAAAACATTTTTATATACAACACAAAGGCCATGTTTACTCCTGGGTTTTTCTCAGCTCCTGTTCAGCTAATGCTGTGAGCATCCCCATCAGAATTGCAGCCCACCAAAGGCACCAAGACTGCCTTCAGTTTTTAGGATAATGCACTGAGTTATCTGTAATGGCAACTGCTGAATTTCAGAAGTGGGGGAAATCCCCCGAGTCTCAATTTTGTCTTTTATTAAAAAGCTTAATTCATACAGCACAACAGATAAGTGACCTCTTTCTGTCCATTGTAGTGGACAGTGCTTGGAAAATTTCATGAGGTGATGGAGAGTTTTCTGTTAGTGTTAGAAAGACTTGCTCAGGTAAGTTGCTGATGTACAGGTCTGCTGTAGTGTTTTCATAGAGTATCACCAGGAGATGTTTTGATTTGTGGGTCAAATTAACCATTAGCCAGGCTGTAGTGTTAAATCAGCTCTGAGTAGAGAACAAAAAGGCTTTTTTTATTTTTACTCCTGAATAGACCAGCACAGAGGGGAACAGCACAAGATTTGCTGTACCTTGCCCTGAGCCTACTGACATAAAAGCTCTCCTGGAAGGGCTGAGGTGTATCTCAGTGCTCATGGTCTTCAGCTTCCGGCTGTTCTGTTTAGAGTACAAGCTCTGAAGCATGAGTACTTTCTCAAAATAGCTAAGTGGGGAAAGTATCATAAATCTTTATTTCTAAAATGTAATATCTGTGAGCCTCTTTCATGGACAGCAATAGCATTATAAAGGATGACTTCTCCTATAAAAACTTAAAATTAAAAAAAAATAATTATTCATAGATGTAATTTCTGTCTTTCTGGAGGTAACTGCAGGTTGTAATGTCTGATAATAAAGGTCCTCTCCCCACTACATCTATACTCTGTTAATTTTGACTCCTGTTCTCATAAGAGGACAATTCATTGGCACAAATTTAGAAAAAAACATGGATATTAACATCCATCTGAAATTGTCTGTGCTGGCACTTACAGAGTAGGAGAGCTGCATGGAAACAACCCAGTTAGATGATTCTTGCTAAAACATCCTGTGCTTGATTGAAGACTCTGAAGTTCAGCAATAAGAAGGAGAGCTGAGCCTGTTCTTAAGGGCCTCCCTGCAAGTGAATGCTCTTCAGGATCAGAGCCCCACATAGCTGCCTTTCCTGAAATATCTGTGCTTCTGTTCTTCTCTCACATAAAAGCTGCTGTCTTGTAGGTGATGACACTGATTTCAACATCTTGGCCTCTTAGTATAAGAAATTACTTTTCTTCTTCCAACAGGGAAAAATAAATTCTTAATGAAAAAAGTGCTGTCCATGAGCTCTCTCTGAGCTCTGAGATCTTCATCTGGTATTTATATAACTGCCTTTTCTTGGGAGAACATCCCCACACCATGCTCCAAAAATGGATGAAAACCAGCCTGTTCAGCTAAGGGCTACGTGGAGCATGACTGAGCACAGGCAATCTCTGCACTTTCTGGCCTGCTTTCATGCGTGCAAAGAGCTGAGCTTGGGACCTACCCATCACGAGCACTGAAATGTGAAGCAGCAGCAAACAAATCAAAGGAGTGACTTCGTCCTCCTGTAATGAGACAATCAGACAAAACTACTCCGAAAGGCAGGCTGGAAAAATCCCCAAATGAGCGAGCAGAAGGGAGAGGGACCAGGAAGGGAACAAATGGCACTAGGAATGCATTTGCTGAGTTAAGGGAGTGTCAAGGGAAGGAGAAAGGGAAAGAAGGGAAAGGGAAGGACAGGAGAGGAGACAAAATGGAAGGGAAGGGAAGGGAAGAGGAAGAGGAAGGGGAAGGGGAAGGGGAAAGGGAAGGAGAAGGAGAAGGAGAAGGAGAAGGAGAAGGAGAAGGAGAAGGAGAAGGAGAAGGAGAAGGAGAAGGAGAAGGAGAAGGAGAAGGAGAAGGAGAAGGAGAAGGAGAAGGAGAAGGAGAAGGAGAAGGAGAAGGAGAAGGAGAAGGAGAAGGGGAAAGGGAAGGTGCCTGATTCTCTCTCTGCTTGGTCTGGCTTGTAACTGGCAACAACATCCTGCTGATGAGGCAAGCAGAGCCACCTGGGCCTGAGGCAGCAGGGACCAGTGAATCAGACAGGTGGGACAGATCTCCACCATACACATCCAGTGTCAGTGGAGCCATGCCAGTGTTTCCACGTGCACAGTGACCATTTCTCCAAACAAGTGCTGGTGCCTGCACCCCATTGCACATATAGAGGATGTGACCATATAGGATGTGAAATCCCATGTTCAACAAGAGACTGATACAACAGCTCTGGCTGGTATGCCTTTCAGGCTTCCAAGGGCCTGGTTATGTGAATACTCTCTTTGGGAAGATATCTTGAAGCTTGTGAGAGATGCAACTGTGTAACAGTGACATAGAGACCAGAGATGAATCTCAGCTCTTACAAAGTCCAGGCCAGCTGGTGTATGTTGCTCAAAGGAGGTGCATCCAAGATCCAATTATCTTTTTCATCCTTCTGGATCAATGGTTCCAGGTCATTTCCATGACGTCTCTGTTGCATCCTGTTATTTTTACACCCTTGACTTAACAGTGACATACATGAGACCATGTAAGCCGTAGGTTCATCTTTGGAATAGCCTTTCTCACACCCAGAGGGACATGTGTTCCTCACTCTGGGAACCCAGGAGACATGTCTGAAATGCATTAGTTTTATGGCCTGATCTGCCAAATCAACTGGCACCACAGAACTGCAAATTGCAGCTCTGTAGTCCCAGCATTTGGTGCTTTCTCCTGGGCACTTATGACAAAGAAACAAATGGAGAAAGACAAGCATTAGATTCTTTTCACGCCACTTTCACAGTGGACAGTGGGAGAAGCATCATAAGAAGAAATTACAATTAATCTTTTCTCCTAAAGCTCTGATTTCTCAGTACAGAGTCTTGACGTCTATAATTAATCATAATCTGTGAGATGCAAAGCAGAGTTCTGGTAACCTTTTATGAGTCTTTTACTGTTAGTCCAATAAAACGTATCACATGTAATTTGTCTGTCTTGTTGAGGGCTCGTATTTGGCTAGTGATTATTTCTTATAAACTATTGTCAGAGGAGCCCTCAGTGTGAAATTCATGTTCTTCCTCCAGTCTTGCCAGCAGCAGCTGTGTCCATATATGAGTGTCCCAGTAAAAAATATGCATATAAATAATATGCATAAAAAATATGTATATACCTGCCTCTTATCATAGAATCATAGAATGGTTAAGATTGGAAGGGACATTAAAGATCATCAGGTTCCAACCTCCCTGCTATCAGGACACCTCCCACTAGTACAGGGTGCACAAAGCCTCATCAAACCTGGCCTTGAACACCTTCAGGAAGGTGGTTTCCACAACCTCCCTGGACAACCTATTCCTATAGGTCCTGTTCAGGTACTGGAAGGTGCTCTAAGGTCTCCCTGGAGCCTTCTCTTCCCCAGGCTGAACACCCCATCTCTCCCAGCCTGTCCCCAGAGCAGAGCTGCTCCAGCCCTTGGATCATCTTTGTATCCCTTCTGTGGACCCTCTCCAACAGCTCCTGTGCTGAAGGCTCCAGAGCTGCTCACAGCACTCCAGGTGGGGTCTCACCAGAGCAGAGCAGAGGGGCAGAATCCCCTCCTGGCCCTGCTGGCCACACTTCTTTTGATGCAGCCCAGGACACAGCTGCCCCTCTGGGCTCCAACACACACTGGTGGCTCATGTCCAGCTTCTCATCTCCTCCCACCCCAAGTCCTTCTCCTCAGGACTGTTCTCCAGCCATTCTCCCCACAGCCTGGATTTGTGCCTGGGGTTGTACCAACCCAGGTGCAGGACTTTGCACTTGGCCTTGTTGAACTTCCTGAGGTTGGCATGAGCCCACTTCTCCAGCCTGTCACGGTCCCTCTGGATGGCCTCCCTTCCCTCTAAGGTGTCAACTACTCCACACACTTGGTATTGGCAGCAAACTTGCTGAGGAGACACTCAATCCCACTGTCCATGTCTCCCACAAAGAGACTGGTCCAGCACTGGTCCCAGTACTGAGCCCTGAGGAACACCACTCATCATTTGCCTCCACTGGGACACTGAGCCATTGACCACAGCAATCTGCTTTTTATCCTTTCCACATCAACCTTCATCTCCTTTATGCTCTACCATGCTTCATGCAGTGGACTGACTCACCTTTTCTCACTGGAACCAAGATATCCCCTTCAAACCAAGGCTGACTGGGGGCACACACATTGCAATATGGCCACCAGAATAATAATGGTAAGGCAGGGCAAAGAGGAGAACTTTACATTCTTGCAGAACAAAAAGGTTTTTAAGAAAAAAATGAACAGAAGAAAATGGTGGCATCCAGGCATCGAGCCGGTGCCTTTCCCATGACAGACCTCTCAGATATGCTGGACAGAGGCTCAGCAACTGCATCCCCCAGCTCCCTCAGGACCCATGGATGGACCCCATCAGGTCCCACAGACTTGTGCACCTTCAGGTTCTTTAGATGGTCATGGACCTGTTCTTCTCCTACAGTGGGGAGTACTTTGTTTTCCCAGTCCCTGCTGTCACCTGCTGTGGCCTTTGCAATGAGGCTGGAGCACTTGCCAGAGAAGACTGTTCAAAGAAGTCCTTGACAACCTCAGCTTTCTCAATGTCTTGCATAGCCAGGTCTCCCATTTCCTTCAGGAGAGGGCCTACTTTTTCCTTGGTTGTCCTTTTATCCCTAACATACTTACAGAAGCTTTTCTTATTGCTCTTTACATCCCTGGCAAGATTTAAGTCCATCTGGGATTTGGCTCTCCTGACCTGGTCCCTGATCCCTGGCTGCTTGGACAGCCTCTATGTGATCTTCCCAGGGGAACAGAGGCTTAGGGAGATCAGAGGGTGGTAGCTGTGGCTACAAGGATCCCTTCTCACGCATGGCTCCTTCTCCCCAAAATTCTGGGTCAAGGAGCATTGCAGGGGATAAAGTTCTCTTCCATAAGATGTGGCAAAGAAAGCAACCTGACAAAGAAGTGCTGTCTCAGAGAGAGGCCACTGTAAACCAGCATGCTTCAAATTCATTATTTCTGGCTGCACCAGCCTGTTAAAACATATGAGCTTCAAAAATTAACATCATCCAGTCATGGCACAAACAGAAAAATGCCTCCAAGTGAGCCAAGGCATGGGAAATGTCCACAGCACCCAGGATCTGTTGTTCAAGGAGCTCATTAATCTGTGGTGCCTTAGCAGCTCCTTTGGAGGCACCATGCTAGGTCAGCCCAGACACTGAGTGATGAGCACCAGTCTGGGCTTTCGACTAAAATGGGACATCCTGATACATATATCAAGAACTACTGAACTGATGGTGACTGTTTCTGTGCATTAGTGACTAGGATGTGATTTTTCCACTGCTTTTTTAGCAACCTGTGAGTGAATATCCTTATATATCCTTATATATCCTTATATCTGGGCTCCCTAGTTCAAAAGGGACAGGGATCTACTGGAAAGAGTCCAAAAGAGGCTACAAGGATGACGAAGGGGCTGGAACATCTGTCATATGAGGAAAGGCTGAGAGACCTGGGGCTGTTCAGTCATGATAAGAGAAGACTAAGAGGAGACTATATTAATGTCTACAAATATCTGAAGGGTGGGTGTCAAGAATGGGCCAGTCTCTGTTCAGTGGTGCCTGTGATAGGACGAGGGGAAACGGCCCCAAGTGACAGCACAGGAAGTTCCACCTCAACATGAGGAGAAACTTCTTTCCTGTGAGGGTGACAGAGCCCTGGGACAGGCTGCCCAGAGAGGTGGTGGAGTCTCCTTCTCTGGAGTCCTTCCAGACCCATCTGGATGTGTTCCTGTGTGACCTGCCCTGGGTGTTCCTGCTGCATTTGGACTCGATGATCTTCAGAGGTCTCTTCCAACCCCTAGGTTTCTATGGTTCTGTGATTCTATGATATGCCTTGTGAGTCCTCTCTGGATATAGTCTGTGAAACGTTTGGTTCAGGACGGCATCCAAGCACAGATGCACGTGGGCTTTGGTGGATTTCAGTCTCTTGCTCTCTCTTCTGCAAATGGGTTTGATTTCCCCGTGAACTCTCCATCTGAGGAGGGAAAGCAGCATGGTTCTGAATGGGTGTTCATATAGGTAGGACTTACACATACAGGCAGAAAGGGATATCCTTGGGCTTTGAAAGTGTTTGTTCTTCTTCCCAGGAACACTGGCTGATGTTATGCAGACTATTTCATCTCCTACATGGTCAGAGACTCCAGCAAAAATTCTCTCCCCACGTGAGGTGGAGGTCCAGCCTGCCTTGGAGGAAGGTTGCAGGAAGAATGGCATCCATTCTGTGCCCAGACAAAGCACCTAATGACACTCTGAACCCAATTTTTCTGTATTATTCAGTTTGGGAACTCTATATAAAAGTCCTGCCGTTTCAGCTCATCTTAAATACATTAATATAAAATCAATTGATTGATTTGAAGTGCCTAGATATAGCTGACTCACTGCTGGATTAAGAACATGTTGTACTAGTTTTGGCTGGGATCAAGTTAATTTTCTTTGCAATAACTACTATGAGGCTGTGGTTTGGGTTTGTGCTGGAAGCAGTGCTGATAACCCAGGGGTGTTTTTGTTGTTGCTGAGCATGGCTTACACAGAGTCAAGGCCTTTTCTGCTCCTCACCCCTCCCTGCCAACCAGGAGGTTGGGGGTGCACCAGGACTTGGGAGCGGACACGGCTGGGACAGCTGACCCCAACTGACCAAAGGGATGTTGCATACTGTGTGAGGTCACGCTCAGCAATTAAACGCGAGGAAAGAAAAAGGAATTCGGGACATTCAGAGTGATGGTGTTTGTCTTTTCAAGTACGATGGAGCCCTGCTTTGCTGCAGATGGCTGAACACATGCCTGTGATGGGGAGTCGTGAATCAATTCCTTGTTTTCTTTTGCTTTAGCTGCTCAACTGTCTTTATCTCAACCAACAAGTTTTCCCACTTTATCTTTCCACTTCTCTCTTCTGTTCCTCAGGATGGTGGGTAAGCAGTGACTGGCTGCCTGGGGCTTTGCTTAAACATGCGTTTAAACATGGAGAGAGGGAAATTTGGACATAATTTCAAGGCCCCAAAGTGTCTTGTTAGGAAAACATACATCATAAGCAAATGTCTGAGCAGGAGACCCGCCTGCAGCCATCCATGAACACAGAGATGGAGAGGTGCAAGAGGAAGCAAACCACCTCCACTCAGGAGCAAGTCACAACCCGCTCCAGTCACCAGTAGTGTAGAAAGACAGCCAGAGCTCCTGAGAGGTACCACCTGCCTTGCCTCAAGCTTGCTGGCCTTGCCAACGTGCAGGCAGGGATGGCAGTTTCTTCAGCTCCTGAAGGCACACACATGTCACAGAATGTATGTGATGCCTTTGGCTGATCTTAGACTGAAAGGCCCCTCCTCTGGGATATCTCCAAGCCTGAATCCCTAACCTGTGCTGCCCTATGAGAATAAAAAAAATAGTGTTTTTGTAGTTGTGTTGGTGGTAGTTTTTGTTTGTTTGGGTTTTTTGTTGTTGTTGTTTGTTTGTTCTTGTTTTGTTTTGATTTTGTTTTTTATATGCCTCCTATCCAGGGCAAGGATTTCCAGTTAACTTTTCTTTCAGTGCTTCTTCTGATGAAAATCTCTGATTTGATCCTGTGCCCCCCCAGGCAGGACAGGGCCAGAGCTGGTTTGGCTGGCCATGAGACCTGCGGAGATCTTCCACCCTGGGAAGTTTTGAGAAAGTTAGGTCTTTTCCATTGGCATTTTCATTTCAAAAATGTGTTTGTTTTTTTTTTTCTCTGCCAGCTGCGATTCTCTGCTACATTATTTAGCAATTGTAGTGACTGCCCAGCAGAGGAGTGTAGAAACCAACACACTGCAAGACTGCAAACTCACTCTCATGTCCCCCATTTTCCATCCTGCTCTCTGATAGGCAGCTCCTGCTCTCATTTTACTGTGAGCTGTGGCAGCCTCAGCTGCCTGCAGGCTGATCTCCTGCTCAGACAGCTGTCTGGGATGCATGCTTTCCTAACAAGATATTTTGGGCCCTGAAATGATGTCCAAATTTCCTTCTCTCCATCTGCTCTCCAGCCTGTGTCCATCTGCTCTCAGTTCGTGTCAGTCCTGGCTGAATTTGTCATGGCAGGGCAGCTCTTCAGAGGCGCAGCACAAGGAGCTTGCTGGGACACCCTGATAAGTGCTGCCTGTCTGGCCAGGAGGTTTATCACTGACATGCAGGCAGGGGCTGCCTGCACCCAGCCCTCCCAGTCCCACAGGCATCCCCTGTGTCCCCATCCTGGAGCCTCAGGCAGCACTGCAGTCCCCTGGGAGGGCTCATGCCCTGGTCTCACAGCCTGCAGAGATGAGGATGCTGCTCCTCCATGATGGAGAGATAGAAGCATAGAATCAGGTCCCTAAGCACTATGTCTACATTTCTTTTAAACTCTTCCAGGGATGGTGACTCCACCACCTCCCTGGGCAGCCTGTTTCCCTGCCCAGCCACTTTTTGGGTAAATAAATTCTTCCTAATATCCAATATAAACCTCCCCTGGTGCAGCTTCAGACCGTTTCCTCTGGTCCTGTCATTACTCACTTGGGAGAAGAGCCCGACACCCACCTCCCTACAATCTCCTTTCAGGCAGCTGTAGAGAGCAATGAGGTCTCTCCTCAGCCTCCTTTTCTTCAAACTAAGCATCCCCAGTTCCTCAGCTGCTCCTTGTTTGACTTGTTCCCCAGACCTTTCACCACCTTGGCAGCTCCTCTGGACACACTCCATCCCCTCAAAGTCCTTCCTGCAGTGAGGGGCCCAGAACTGCCCCCCGTGCTGGAGGTGCAGCCTCAGCAGTGCCCAGCACAGGGCCCCAGCACCTCCCTGCTCCTGCTGGCCACGCTGTTCCTGCTGCAGGCCAGGATGCTGGTGGCCTTCTTGGCCACATGGGCACACACTGGCTCATGTACATCCAGGTGTCAACCAGCACCCCCAGGTCCTTTTCTGC